GGCTTGTGTACTGCAAACACATACCAGCTTCATCACTGTGTCTGTCACGAGACTCTGTTCCCCTTTCAGGCTCTGTCTTTACATTTATTTTGAAAGATGAAGCTCGCGATTATGGTAAGGGGCGTTACATTTCCGACGAGTGCTTGCGGTGTTCAGCCAATCACAATGCACTGGGTCAGCTGGCCAATCAGAGCAGACTGCGCTTGTCAGAAGGAGGGACTTTGTAGAAAACAAAGCGTTTGAGAGAGGCGGGGCATAGAGGACCTACAATAATGTACAGTATTTGAAAAATAATGTTTTTTTTGAACAGCATGTCAACATATTCTGTTACACCAAATAATGATCTTTAAAAAAGCATCATATGACCCCTTTAATACTCAGCGCTACAATAGCATACAAATTTCATGTATTTTCTGGTTGTAATCTATGAAAGAGGCTGAAAAATAATTATATATGGTTATTATAGCATTTCTAAAACAACACCAAATGGTGGCCTAAGATTTTTGCACAATACTATGTATATAAAACAAGCAATTTCTACACATTCACAGTACATTATAGACTTATGGACATTTGGTGATACTTTGAGATACTTTGTGAGAAAATTCATAAGTGAATTAAAATATAAAGTGATGAATATTTTGTAAATATGTGTGGTGTAATTCACAAAAAACTTTAAAACAATAGGTTTATTATCGTCTATCTGACTTCTAAATGCATGAAGAGCTCATACAGGGATTTTCAAGGCAGGTTATGGAGGGCTTTGTGGCCTTATTTCAGTAACTTAATTTTTTTTTTTTTTCACTAACCACACATAAACGTTGTTTTCTCAAAAATACTAACTTGTACATACATATTGCTCACATATTATTGTAGCCTAGTTTGTGCTGAATACAGTGTAATCAGACTTTACCCATGAATATGTTTATATGAAACTGAAAGATGCACACATGCCAGGACATGTCAAAACTTCTCCAGGGCCCAAAAACACAATCAGACCCCAGAGGGTTAACTTGTTTTTTATGTTGTTTTAACAGAAATAAATGTGTTGCCCCAAGAACGGACATCGCATCCATCTTAAAAGTGTAACACTATATGAAAAATCAGAAATAAAGAAAAATCTGGGGGAAAAAACAGCTTCTCTATGCTAAAGTTACAAGTATTTAGTTTGACCTCCTTTACACTAGAGCAATAGAAGGAACCTGGTTTTCTTAAACTGTAATGGAATGGGAAAGGGCTGGAAGCCCAAGAAAACTTCTGAAGTTTTTCAGAGTTTCTTCTTTGAGAAACAACAAAGCAGGAGGCAAAAAAAAAAGATAAAAAAAGCCAATATATGAATGCAGCTGAGTGTAAGAATATATACTGCTACATCAGCGGACATGAATATATCCACACACACATATATATATACATATACTTACACTTACACATACAGAATTACAACTTCTAAAATATGTGTATTAAAGACTACCAGATTTGATATAAAACCAGAGCTTTGAATCATTTGTTTTTCCACAAAATGGCATTGTTACCTTAAATTCCTTAAGATAGCATCTACTTCCAACTAAAATAAAATACATATTTTACAGTGTCCTTGTTAAGTTTACATGTACTTATGCATGTCAACTAAATATGTCACCTTTACAAAGATTAAGGGTAAAGACAGCTTCTCATCTTTCCTTCCACTACAACTTTACAGCACAATTTCACCATCCAGCTAGGATCATCAAGGTATTATCCCATCAAGTTCGGTTAGGAATCTTGGGGTGTTCTTTGATGACCAGCTGACCTTCAAAACCACACGATTATGCAGGTTTGCACAACTATGCAGAGCTCTCACAGACTGTGCAGCGGTTTGTCTGGTTACAGAATCCCAATGACTGTTTTGCCACTTTCCCTTACATATCCAGACCACAATAAATAAATCATCAACTCAGAAGTGGTAAACACAGAAGACCTTTTGATTGGTCAGGATCCTGTGACCCAAGGGTCACGCCTGGCCAGAGATAGGAAAACATTCTCACAAGAGACCTTGTGAGAGGCACACCCCCTAAACAGCAGAACATAATTATTTTCAGTCTTTCTCAAAATTTGAGTGACTGCTGTGAAATTGAGACCATTTTACCAAAAACAACAGATTCACAAAATGCACCATATGCACCATATGTGATACATAGACATTCTCAGTGAACTTTGATTGACTTTAGTCACAAGGAAAGGAGAGGGAGTAGAAGAGGGAATCATAGATAAGCTAGGAAATAAGTTTGGGCAATGTGGTGCCCTATGCTCTTTCTTTGAGATCTTCTCTGCAGATCAGTGAGCTTTGTTTTATTGCAGGGTGTTTAATTTCATGTTCTGTCTCAGAAGGAAAACCATCCTTAAACCTAGTAGCAACCCAACAATGTAGCTCTGCAATCTCTGCCCAGCTCCCCTCAGGTCTTTCATTTTACCCAGCCACTGAGAGCGAGTAGTGTAAGATCATACCAAAGGTAACTTTTTTTCCTCCTTTCTCTTTTATCTTTGTGTTTTGTGTTTTCCTTTAGTTATCTTTTTTTCAGTTTTTTCTAATGGTTTCTGCTTGGTTCTATGCCCATGAAAGTTTTTTTTCCAAACCAATATTTAAGTTAGTTGGCAAAAATCACCTATCAATTTCAGTGAGTGAAGAACAAATTTATATTCACATGTATTATATATTAGCTATATTATCTTTTCTGACAGACAGCATGTTGAAGCCGCTCAGGCTGCCATTTTCTCCTTTTTTTTGGTATCTCCATGTGGTCCTATTCACTATCACAACTTGACTTGTCCAAAATGTAAACAAGCTCTTTGCTGTTGCACTCTACACATACTATACACTGTGAATTTTTTCCCCTTTTTTTTCAAATTTAAAAAATAAATAAATAAAAACCTGACTGCCTC